CTTCCCTTTCGTCACCACTTCCCTTCACCACTTCCCTTCGTCACTTCCACTTCACCACTTCCCTTCGTCACCACTTCCCTTCTTCACTTCCCATCGTCCCACTTCCCTTCGTCACCACTTCCCTTCGTCACCACTTCCCTTCGTCACCACTTCCCTTCGTCACCACTTCCCTTCGTCACCACTTCCCTTCGTCACCACTTCCCTTCGTCACCACTTCGTCACCACTTCCCTTCGTCACCACCCGTCATTAACTGCTTCTTATTCTTTTGTTATGTATTGTTATGTGATCTACCACCCTGCATCATTTCAAGTCGCTGACTTCTATTTGTCCGTAACACGGAAGTATTGCTTCCCAACTTCCTTTGACTAGAGGTTACTAGTGGTTAATAGTGGTTACTAAAGGATACTAGTGGTTAATAGTCGTTACTAGAGGTTACTAGTGGTTAATAGTGGTTACTAGCGCTTAATAGTGGTTACTAGAGGGTACTAGTGGTTAATAATGGTTACTAGAGGTTACTAGAGGCTACTGGTGGTTAATGGTGGTTACTAGAGATTACTAGTGGTTAATAGTGGTTAATAGTGGATACTAGAGATTACTACTGGTTAATAGTGGTTCATAGTGGTTACTAGAGATTACTAGTGGTTTATAATGGTTACTAGTTACTAGTGGTTACTAGAGGTTACTAGCGGCCAATATTGGTCAATAGTGGTTACTAGAGGTTACTAGTGGTTAATAGTGGTTACTAGAGGTTACTAGAGGTTACTAGAGGTTACTACAGGTTAAGAGTGGTTAATAGTGGTTACTAGAGGCTAGTAGAGGTTACTAGAGGTTAATAGTGGTTACTAGAGGTTACTAGTGGTTAGTAGTGGTTAATAGTGGTTACTAGAGGTTACTAGTGGTTACTAGTGGTTACTAGAGGTTACTAGGGGTTACTAGTGGTTAATAGTGGTTACTAGAGGTTGCTAGTGGTTAATAGTGGATAATAGTGGTCAATAGTGGTTACTAGAGGCTACTAGTGGTTATATAATAGGTTACTAGTGGTTTCTAGAGGTTTCTAGAGGTTACTAGAGGTTACTAGAGGTTACTAGTGGTTAATAGTGGTTAATAGTGGTTACTAGAGGTTACTAGTGGTTAGTAGTGGTTACTAGAGGTTACTAGTGGTTACTAGAGGTTACTAATGTATCTCTCTTTCTATATATACATATATATATATATACATAGAGAGAGGAAGAGAGGCACAATCAGCGGATTTTGAATACTGGCAGCATATAAGCTAATGAATGGTATGTTGCCAAGGCAACAGTCAAAACCTGTTCATTGATATACCTCTGATATAATTACCTAGGAGAAACCATGAGATATTATGAGAAACATATACTCTATATAGCTCTATATCATATATCGTCCTGGAAACACATATCATCTTCCTATCTTTTTGGGTGGCTATAGCCCCAATCATCAAATTTAGAGATCTCTGGAGGAGGTGCCGTTGATACCTCGCCATCAGCGAAGATTGCGGACTTACGATGGACATCATTGAAGTAGAAATTCCAAGCGTCAACATAAATCAAAACATCTCAGAAAAGTTCATGAGGGAAATCTATCCCTCCAGGTCAAAGACCTCGTAAAACTTGGCCTTTTAACTTTGCTGAAAAGGACCTACTATTACTTGATGAGGACCTACTATTACTTGGACCTTTTGGGTCCAAAGTTAAGATGATGGCCATGGATGTCCAACAGTAATATATAAGATGCATAAACCCATAATTGTTGCCCTAAATTTCAGGATAGCCACATCCCTTCACCGACTAAATATCCAATTTGCGGTTTATCATAGGGTACCCCACACTATTTTATCATTGGGAGTCCAGGGCTGGAACCACCACAAACGTATGGTTTTTGAATTATCAGGGGCCCAGAATCGCTAGCGTGAACCGAGCGTGAACCGAGCGTGAACCGGACCAACTATGACCGGCAAAAGACCAACTATGACTGGCAAAAGACCAACTATGACCGTGAACCGAGCGTGAACCGAGCGTGAAACCCTAGGAACCATTTTTTCAGTGTGGAAATTTCTGCCAAACATATAATTTCTTGAGGGGAGACGCCACGAATTTGCTTTGCATATGCTCCGGAATGTCAGCCTTAGTGGCTGTTCATTGCAACTTGGAAAGGCCCATTCGGGGCTATGATCTGTAGGTGATTGAATGCTTCCCAATCATGCATCAACAGTTTCAAATGGGGTTCAAGTCAAATTCAGCATTGATGGGAAAAAGGGCTGAGCTCTATAAAACCAAGTAAACCAGAGGACCTCGTAAAACTTGGTCTTTTGCAAAAGACCTCGTAAAACTTGACCTTCCGACTTGCAGGGTATAGTATATGTTTAATATCTATAGTTCATATATCTATCTATTTAGATATACATAAATAAAATAATCATAAAATGTAATAAAGATCCAACAATAAAACCCAAGAATACAACGGTAAAAGGATGACCAATGATCAAGTCAGGTGAAACCATCAGGCTATGGCTAGCTGTGGCTAGCACCCATCATGTGAAAAATCCCATTGAAAAACTGCCCATGTTGTTGGTAACTGGTAACACGAACCCCATTTTAGTTATCAACCACTGGGATTGTTTGGAAGCCTTTTATTGACATACCAAGCATATAGCATGATGTGGACCAGTGGTGGACCATCCTCATCCTTCACTTGGTAAACGGCTCATATCTTACAGGTAAGTTGGGCAGAATTTTAACCCGCGTGTGTCTGAAAATTGGGATACTGGCTACTGTGATACTTTTATATGATGATTAACCATCAAATTTTAGGGGGGACAATTATGTTTAACCGTGAAAATTTAAGGTACCCTATATATTCAGACAAACCCACCAGCAACTGCGGTTACTTCGCCAACTTACTACCCTCTGGTAATCTGTTGCACTTTGCGAAGTGTTTGGAACTGAACCATGTTCCATAGCCATGTAACAACCAAAGGCTAAATCCCAACATCTACATTGTTTGTTGAGTCCCCATGAATCACCACTTCCCATGGATCCACCAAGCATGACTTTCCAAGCAGTGAGACTATGAAAAATCACCTCATGGGGCACCGTTTGGTGCACCACCAACTCACGGAGGGAAGGCCGCCATGGAATTTCTTTGGTACGTGCGCCATGGAGTGGCTCGGGGTGGAAGACAGGTGATTTTTGCTCATTAAATGTGGATCCCTTACAAAAGGTTCAACTGATTTTTGAGTGAAATATGATAATATGTGGTAAGATTACCAAAAAATGTTTGAAGTCCAAGGTGTGGCAATATGAGTTATCCAGTATTTACAAAAATAACTAACTGTAAGGTTTGGTGTCACAAAATTGTTTCGTCAATTAATTGACATAATGTTCATATGTGATTGTATTGAAAAATTGAAATCGCGAATCTGTGTTGAGGGCCCCACAAATAAAACATATTCCTCATAGACTCCCCAAACGTGCGCTTTGCCAGTGGAAAATAAACATCACGTTCAGCAAATCTACCCTCTGGCGCTGTAAGATATCTATGGAAAATGGCCCGTTTATAGATGGTTTCACCTATTAAAACGAATGGTTTTCAAGGGTTATCTTTAATTTACTGGAGGGTAGACTACGAGATCAATGCATTCACCAAATCCGGCTGGGAATGCGACGTGGGTACAACATGGTACAACCATTTACCTGGAAGATCCTATATCAAACACCCAGGGTGCAAAAATGGAGTTTAACATTTCACAAAAACAAATACAATATATCCAGGATGTCATTGCATTTTTGTATATACTTGTATATAATCAAATTTAATGGGATATTGGATATAAAATACATAACTATATATACACAAATTATTACTTTTGGGTATGTACATAGAATGCGCACACTCGAATTTGTTGTTTTAATAGCGGCAAAGATGATAAACCATTGATTTGTTTGATATTATTTTTAGATTTCCGCCAAACCGATTTGGATCTAAAATGCACGTGTTACGGACATTGAAAAATGACATAATGCCCAAAATATTGTAATATGAAACGCATCCTCTGACAGAGAAAGAGAGACTAATGCAATATCCCGGACTTCAAAAATATAGTTTGTCTACTTACACAATTTACCATCACATTTTTTGATTTTGACAAACAAACTGTATGAATCCGCACAACTCTCTAAATAAATATATGTATATATATATATATAATTATATGTATATATATATATATACAATATCTAAAGGGTCTTGGACGGTAATGAAAAGGACATGTCAATAAAAAAACGTTGCCTTTGCCAACAAAACATTCGCCCTTTTCCAAGGTCCGACCCCATGGAAAACCCTACAACCGGACATCTGGGTTTAGCATGCTTTGCCTATACAAAAGGTGCCAAATAGCAGGTCATGCTGTGCCAGCCTCGAAAAACAATTCGTCAAAGGGCACTGTGCATCATTTGTAAGAGACTGGGCAACGAGTGAAATTCCGACAGAAATTACCCGAATTTGCACTGAACAAAGGCATGGCAAATTCCAGGCGTCAAAAGCACGACACGGTACTCAATCGAATTGGACTGCCCTTTGATTCTGGAATGTTAAATTGTTAATGTGCTTGGTCGAGCGGAGCCAGGTGTCGGGACGGAAACACACCTGGGAAATGACGCAGACTCCATGTATCGTCTCATCCTTGAAGGAAGGCTCAACGAGAAAAATATTGTATTGGTCCACCGGGTTTAGAATCTGGAAGGATGGGCTCACCAAGTTTCAGGCATTATTTCAAAGCACGGTACATGTGCGCACTTCTGTGATCTGTCCAAGGAAAACGCGCCTAGATGTTCAACAAGCAACGTCGTATCATTTGCAGCGTGTCTTGCCTTTGGCGTCTTGGTGGTACCAGGACCTATCAACCTACTGTTGCAGCAAATCCCTATGTTCGTCTACCAAAGTCAGCTACTCACAATCACATTGGGCTCGAACGTCATCCTCACCTGCCGTTTGCTGAGCCGCAGCAACTGTGACAACGAGGCCCACACCTGGTTCCAATTTCGGCTTGTCTTCATCACACGCCCCCGCCTGCGCACCGTGGCATACCACCTCGGGGCACGGGCGGGTTCAGCAAGGCTATAGGCGCTAATCCTGGCCAGAAAATTCGTGGAGAACCACAACTCATGGAGGTTTCAATGGGAAAATCATTGAACAAGGAGCGAGTTTCCAGTCATGTTTGAATACGAGAGCAGGTTTTTTGCCTTTACCATCTTCCATTATCAAGATTTTATCTTCATGGACACGGCACACTTGCACATGGCCTTGCAAATATCTATGACCACCGTAGTCGTTTGTATGACATTCTCAAATGGCAAATGGCTAGAGGGGGGGCCATTTCTCCAATCGAGCCGAGAGTGGGACGAGTGGGGTCAAATCAAACTTCGGAGGTGCCCGAAAATCCCAAGATTGGAGTGTGATCCTTAAAATGATGGCTGGTTGGTGGTTTCAACCCCTCTGAAAGATATTAGTCAGTTGGGATTATTATTCCCAATATATGGAAAACAAAAAAATGTTCCAAACCACCATTTTTCCCCACCTTTCAATTCGCGTCACCTCAGCTCGCGGAAGTGACCCGTTTTAGGTCCAATCAGAAATCACCAGACGAAACAGGAAACAAGGGCCAGGATTCATCTCGCATTGAAAATGGCAAAATGTCCAGAGATTCACCACGTCTCCGGATACCAAATGGGACATGAGCAATAATCCACCTGTCCACTTCATCCAACCTCCATTGTGGCCAAGGAACCGCCACACAGCCAGTATACAACCCCAATACCGTGGAATGAGGCTGAGTATAACTCATGGAAAGTGGCTGACAAGAGTGGCAAAGGCACTCCTTAAGGATTTTTGCAAACCACCTGGCACGTAACCTGAAAGGGTAATTTGCTAACCCCACCAAGTCAATGCAATCAGCATCCCTCCACTGCTTTTCATGCACAGGGCCTCGACTGCCAGTTGCTAGTTGGAAGTCAAGATACAATTGGAAATGGGACACCCATTGACAAGAGTCACACGCACCATGTAGTGTATGCTGCCACCAGCTTAAAATTTTACGAACCAGAGTCTGGCCATACCATCGCGCTGCAGCACTCGGAAACCTTTTGAGTTCTCTCAAACCTTGCCAAGACCCAGGCGGCGGCCGCACAGGAGCCACATTGGGTTCTTCCTCCGGTTCAGCAGTTGCTTGGGCCTTCATTGCTGCTTGGCTAACTCTGAGCAACACCATTTGAACAGCCCTTGAAATCTTGTGGGAGATGGCACACGCCACAACATGGGCATTGCACACGTTCCAAAATGAGGCTGGTCTGTTGAAATTCGCACGAAGGGCTGTTCTGTCAGCCCAGTTATTATGCAACAAACACCAGTCCTCAAAAGGCGAGGAGCCAACTGTACCAATGTGTGCTTGAACCTTCGTAACCTGGACACTTTGAGCAGGCAAATCACCAACCGCATGAAAAACCTGGACCCACAAATCAGAGTGGGGCCCATTAGCTGCAGGGAACTGCCCTTCCAAGATCTTACTGAGCTGGCTAATCGCAGAGGCGCAATCAGTCCAAATCATGATCCTGTCTTCGTGCTGAAATGATAGACCTCAAAATGGCAAAGATTTCAGCCCTATAAGCGCTTTGCAACAAGCCCGGCAATGGACCACAATCAAGTACTGAGCTGGACATGCCATCAACATCGTCTCCTGCCACAACCACCGACCATGCTGCAAAGCGCTGCCCCGGAAGGTGTTGGTTGTGACAGCTCCCATCAGTGAAAAGGTTAACAATGGCCTCCCATGGCTCAAGGCATCTAGGCTCACCACACCGTACTTCGCTAAGCAGCCTCCACCATCGGAGCTGTGTCCATGGTCGCAGCGACCAGCCATAGCAGGTGAGCGACTCTGGCAAATTCGGCAAAAGCGGAAGGACCTCAGCAGGCATGGCTTCACGCAGGGACGCAAAGTGAGGACATACCCAAAATCTATGGTACCGGCTGTCAACAGAACCACAAAATTGACAAAGGTCATCTGCGCCAGTGTGGCAATATTGTTTGCCATCTTGGGTTATGTGCGTACCATTAAGGAGCTTCCTCATGAGGGCAGCATCACACTCGGTCAAGGACTGCAACCATTGACGGGTGTGAAAAGGGTCACATCTGGATAGGTGCACAAGGCCAGGTCTATGGGAAACTTCTTGAGACACGATTTTCTGCCACGCCAACCCCGCCCTGAAAGAAATTTCAGCAAAAGAGGCGCCAAAAAGCGAAAACGAGCCAATGTCATCCTGCAACAAGCCTGTCTCATTGATATGCCACCCCAAGATTTGGATCCTGGTCAAAAGCGTGAACGTGAAGCTATTGTCAGGACAAGTGGACTTCCCAAAAGACAAGGCAATCATGGAGGCCTTCACCTCGGCTCTATTAGCACATGCCCTCACCAACCTGAAAGTGCTCAAGATCGCCCAAAAGTGGGGATCAGAATTGGGTTCATGAACAAGGCCTAAATGAAGGAAAGCATTGCTACCTGCACCGTCAGCATGTAAACCCCTCATCGCACCGGTTCGTAGTTGATGAAATTGGGCAAGGGAAACCGTGGTGGCTGCGATGGCATGCAGCCCTTTGGGCCAAGCCGCTGTTCTCAAAGCCCTGAGTTTATCCTTGTACTTGCATGCTGACAAACGAAGCTTGGGCCACAACGAAACCATGGCAGCAAAACGGTCAGTTTGGACCTTGTTGGAATGTCTCCTTGACATCTGGCATTGCGCACCTAGGTTACGACATTCCAGCTCAACTTTGAAACCATCTTTCCGTAGCTGCGCTCGTGCATGGGGACACAACGACCAGGCAAACGTCTTACGGGCATCCAGTAGCAGGTCTACTTCAGCCACAAATTGATTAAGACAGGTCTGTATTCCCGGCAGGTCATCCGGACAGCATGTCAACACCTGCCAATCATCGACGAAAGACATCGGCTGGCAGAGTGGGAAAAAATGAGTAAGCCATGCATGGAAAAGAAGGTCAATGCAAACCATAGCAATGCAGCTCAAGGCATCTCCTTCCGGATATCCAGTGGAGCTCCCAATTGGATCACTGAGACACCCTCGAATGGCAAACCTCCGTTGAAAACACGACACGGCACCTGTCCAAGCTTGTACAACCCCAAAAGGAAAACCTAGCCAAAGGCAGCATGCAATGACAACTTCACGCGGAAGATGGTTAAATGCTTTCTGAATGTCTGCAATGAGTCCAGTCAGTCGGATGTTTTGCCCAAAAGAAAATTCAATCGCCCACAGGATATGCGCCCACAATTGGGCCGCATGGTAACCTGGTCTGCTACCATAAAGGTGGTCTGGGAGCGCATCTTCCATGACCCTGATGGCATGTCTTGCATGAAAAGTACCAAAGCACCGATATACCAAACCCAACACCGTAATTGGGCGAAAGTCAGAAGCAGACTGGGGTGACTCAGTCTTAGCAAGGCTGGTGACACGCCCATCAATGATTTGAGAGGGCCACATTCCACTGTTTTCAGCAGTTGAAAAGATCCGGCAAAAGTTTTCATGCACACAAGTGGGCATCGCACGGAGGTCCTGGATGGAGACACCATCTAGGCCCGCCGAGGTAGTGGTCTTTTTGCGGAAAACACAACTCCTAAGAGCATCAGCGTCAAGTGTAGCCCATGGCAAGCGTGCACACGGCAACTTATCTTGAGCAAATTGAATGATGGCATTCCAACGTTCAGGGGGCACCTGATCATGCCGTTTCCACCTAGCTCCCCAAGTGTCAAGGAACTCTGCTGCAAGTTCTTCCGTGGACCCCTGGCAAAACACCTGGGAAACTTGTGATCCGGGTTCAATGCCATCAACACTGTCAAGCCAAAGGCAGTCATGATCCCAGTGGATAATTTCTCTCTTGCGACCTCCCGCCATGATGGGTCGGGCATGCATCCAAGAGTGAAGAGAAGACAACACTGGCAACCAATGGTTTGCAAAGCAATTCAACGCCCTGAGCAGGGGCAGCTTTAATATCACGGAAAATCACATTTGGGTCATTGACTCGGCGGAGCCTTGCATACTGGCGGGAACTTTTGGCAAGATCCTTTTCAAGACAACGCACAGAAAGTGCCAAAGACTCATACATGGCCTGAGCAACCAGGCAGGGCGGGGGTGCCACTGGACACGCCAAAGGGGCCCCATGGGTTGAATGTTCACATGTAGGCCACCAGGTCATGAAATCAGGAGAGAAACCCTTAGCCCGGCAGATGGCTCCCCAGAGCAAACCAGCATGTTCATCAACATCAGATCTCTGACTAACATGCCTTACATAAGACTGTAGTCGACGAACTTGGCGGACCCACTGTGCATGTCTGATCGACACTCCATGGAAATTTGGCTGGAACTCACCTAAGCGCGCCTTTTTAACTGGGGCAATCCTGCCCCCAGCCGCACGTTTTGTTGCGAGTGTGGAGCCTCTCCCAAGCTGGTGACGGGAGACAGCAAAAGGAAGGGACTCTACGGCACTTGTTTCAATCATCTTCCACATCTTGGCATACTGGCCAGTAGGGTCATTAGTTTGGATATCCCACCATTGTGAGTCCACTTCAAATTGGGCAGGCCAAGGCAAAGGGCTTGGAGTAGGCCAGACCATTCTGGGTGGTGCCTGCGACAACCTACGAAACACACCTTCGATGACGGCATGGTCTGGCCAAACATCCTGCAAAACCCGGACATCGCAAAGCAGAGCAGCAAGTTCAGGACTAATGAAGCAGAAATCCTTTCGAGTCACATGTTTGCAGGTAGACTGAACAGGCAGTCCCCACTTGGCAAGGGCCAACTCTTGCAAATCCTGGAAGCCAGCCGCCCGAATCAAGTCGAACGCCGGCAGGCTATCGACCAGCTCATTAAGGTCCCCCGCCAAAAACCTAGGGCCAACGTTCAGATGGCAAACCTGGGCCGCCAAATGACGCAAAATTTGCTCATTGTGGAAACGGTGTTGAGGATAAAGGTGACTTTCAGGCTCACCATAGAATGTACCTCCAGTGATCCAAACATCATCAAGCAATG